AAATAAAATTAATAAATAAACTTATCTTTCAATCCATAAGTTCCTTTTTTGCTATTATTTTAAAATCAATTTATAAAGAATTAAAACGTAATCTATTTGTCATCTTAATATATAATATAAATAATTATTATATGATTAATGCAATGTGATATGTATGAAAATCTATAAAAAAAAAATGTGAAAATGCATTCTTACATTCTTCTTTGCATTTTTTTTTTTAAAACCAATATGCAAAGTTTTTTGAAAGCACTAAATTTTAATAAAAACTTTTTTTATAAGCAACCCAAGGTAAATATCAAGAATTTTGCAATGCATATGCATATTACAAACAAGCAACACTTAATAATTATAAGCCAAATCATCAAATAATAATGAAAGAATGTATAGAAGCTTAGAAAAAAGTCAAAAATAATGATACTGCCTTTATTGAGAATAAATTCAGGAATATTATAACATTATACCTTTTACTATTCACTCTTATCAAAGAATTTTTGTCACGTGATTTGACTAATAGCTCTCGTTAAACTTTCACTCTAAGAACTTCAAATACTTCAAAACAGTTTGTCAGGTTTATTGATATTACAACATTGTCCCCCAAATGCTAAATCACAATATATTATAGCTAAAAAAGATTAATTTAACTGCAAAAGCATAGCTGAATATCAATAAATGATGGAGATTGCTATAAATGATTCAATGAAAGTTACGTTATCATCTAAGATAATTGAAAAACAAAAAAATATATCAATATAAAATGCATAGCTAACAAAGTTAAAACATCATGCTGAAGCTTAATCAAGGTTAGCAGCAAAAAAACAGAAGTTGCTAGAAGAGGGTGTTGTAAAAAAATATGATACTCTGGAAAGACTATTCGCAGCTATAAAAGATCTAGATCTATAGGATAAAATCTATAACAGTATTGAGTTTGAAGCTGCCTATGCTAAACGAAGAAAAGTGATCATAAAAGTTAAAACTGTAAAGCATCTACGCAAAACTCTAGAAGAAAAATATAATACTTATCTATTTTATCAATGCTTGTTAACTTATCTTCAACCCTGAAATCAACACACCTTTATTACACGTCATCATCATTATCTAGCAAAAGTTGGTCTTGTCTTTGTGTTATAGACAGAAATGAAATCTCATATTAATGAATATTTCTGTCTAGCTTCTGTTAAAGTTGCAAGAGTATTTTCTGAAGTTTTTGCTGATAAGTCAATTATCATTTCTCAAGATTATAAGGCAAAGATCAGATTAGGCATTCCTTCAGTTAATCACAGATTTAAAACAATTCAGTCAGTTAATGAACCAGTAACTGTCAAAGATCACGATTTTCCAATTAGTTCAAAAATGAAACTTATACCTTTCATTTATCTAGTCATTAATCTAGCTAATTTGAGTAATACCCTTTGTACTAATTAGCTTTTTATATTCATTAGACCAGAATATTTAATTGGAACTTCATTAAAAACCCATATAGCAGATTTAGAAAGTATCATTTCGAATGAAGAGTTTTCCACTACCCTAAAGAAAGAAGACAAAGTTAGACCTATTTGGATCCTTTTTATTAATGGTAGACCTGATGAGAACCCAAAACATATGAAAAATATTATTTAATATGCTCATCTTTTCCATACTCTTGACCTAGACTACTTGACAGTTTGTACTTATGTTCTAGATTAAAGTACGTATAATTCAGTTGAATGCAGCATAGCTTTCTTGTCTGAAAAACTTGCTGGCATTACTCTACCTGTAGGGGAATTTAGATCATATCTAAATAGTCAAGGAAATGTAATAGATGATGAATTAACACGACAGAATTTTGAATATTCGAAAAAAAACTACGTGATATATAGAAAAGGGATGACATACATGGAAAACCTGTGATAGTGGAATATGTTGACTAGGAGAGACATTCGTTCAATAATCTGGAGTCTTCAATATCGTGAGAGTGAATTAAAGACCATATGCAGATTTACCGCTATTCACTAGATATAAGAAAATGCAAAAATAATAAATGTTGTAATGAATATAAAGTTCCAGATGCTGCTATCCTTTTGAATAGAATAATGGATTTCTTCCTTCAATTACAAAAGGAAAAGATGGTCATTTTATCAATCTAATTCACATTCTTCAATATCACGATAAACTCAAAATTCTAGAGTACGATAGTTATTGCCCTTCAATTTCATAAGAATTATATCAACGTCTATGTTGTAGCATATGTGGCAAATACTTTTTAACCCTTAAGTTCATAGGTGACCATAAATGTAATGTACATTCTAGACATCATAATAAGAAACTAAAAAGCCCTCAAAAATGAACTAATGAGATAGAAATGGGTTGTATGCTTATTTCATTCAATCTAAATTTTAACATCGCTGAAGATATAGTTTAAAGCAAAGATATAGAACAAGTTAAATAAGATTCTTGCAAAGTTCAGTCAAATGAAGATTAAAAAAAAGAAAAAAGTTAGCTTTTATATTAGTTTTATGTAATGAAGTAATAACATCAGATACTAAATATCCTTACATATAATATGTAGTTCTGTCCATTATATTGTGAAATAAAATATAAGAATTGAATAAATCTGAAGCAACTGCAAAATTTTACTGGCTGTTGTAAATCTAAAAATTTTATCTAATCAGATAGGATTTTAACTATGCTGATTACATGCCAATCGATCAAAATCATTAAATTTTCATTACTAGTGGTTTATATTGTAAATTCTAACCAGCATTATAATTGTTTGGCTAAAATTTCATCCAATCAGATGGATTTTTAACTATACTTATGTGATTTTTACCAATATTTTAGCCAAATTGAACTGATTAATCATTTATATTAATTATATCATGTGACTATAACCACCTGATATAAAGATCTGACCCTTATCTTCTTTTTAAATCAGCTGATTTCTGGTATACCCCTAAAAAGATATTTGAATTCTGTTCATGCGATACAGTTGCGATGATTTACCCTTAATATTGTTATTTAATAAATCACAAAACAAGCAATATGTTAATAATTGCTCTTTTACATATTCTTAAAACGTGTTTATTGAATATGATATTTAACTTTCATTTAAATTGTGTTACATTACATTATGTGTCTTTTATAATTCTTCGTAAAAATCATGTTATATGCTTAAATACTCATATTATTTCTATGCAAGAACTGACTGAAACTCCTGAATAACATTGAAAGAGGTTTGGAAGAAAGAAACAAGATTGCTATAAAAAAAACAAAATTTAATCATGTAAATAGGATCATTCGTCATGATCTAGAAGGAATAGATTATATATATATCTATTGTAATGCTAAGTTTTGGCTTAATGAAAGAGATCAAAAGAGCTTGTGTGCTTTTCTAACTTTTGCATTATGTTGTGTCACTAGTAAGATCCATTTACTACCTTTGCTTAAACTGCCACTATATCTGTTCCATTTGTATACTTCGGCAGAAGCTGATTCAAATTCATTCTTCAAGAATATTTGAACTTACAATAGCATCTTATCATGCATATCATTTACCGCTAATGTAGATCAGTCGTTCCTTGGTCAGAGCATCTCTAATTTCTGAGTTCATGGCTAAGTCTATCATTTTATCAGTCTATTGCTTCTGGAAGAAACTCAATCACCAACATTTGCTCAACTATACATATATGATACTCTTCATGAAACTACCAATAGACAAAACATCATGCACAATTTAAATGAAGCATCTATAACATATACTACATAAATTCAATCCCTATATTTAATGTTTTTATCAGGTGGAAGATATCATTCAATCGAACGTGACTGCTGATATTTTGATGTTAATACATACTGATCGAACAAAAGATCCCTATTGTTATAATACTCTTACAGCCTCTGATGTAGCGGCAATTATGATTGGTGACAGTTATGATATCAATCCATCTAATTGAGATATTCTTCTTAGGCTACATGATGGAGGTTTAAAAAGAATCTCAAAGCTACATCCATCCATCATATGACCTGCTTCATTATGTGCTGTTATTCCCAAAAGATAATAATGGTTGATACACAGATATACCTTTAACTGGACCTATAAAAAGAGAAAGAGTAATAACAATGCAGATTTACTCCTACAGGCTACAAATTAGAGAAGGAGAAGCACTTTGTATCACAACATCAAAGTTCTTACGGTAATGATCCAAATTATCATACCTTAAATGTTGTATTTCATAAAATTTTTCAATAAATTGCAGATCATCTATTTTTACTATTAAAATCACAAGACATTTTTAAATCACATGATCTAAAATCTGATTTATTAACAATATACCCTATTGTAGAGTAATAGATTAATAACTAGTTATAATATAAAATTATATATAATTCTTATTTAATTATTATTATATTTATTATTTTATTATTTCTTATTATAACAAATTATTTTTTTAACTTATAATTCTATGTAAATTTTATTAATAAAATATTTAATAAAGTATTTAAAATTATTGTGAATTATATAAAACTTGAGAATATTTTGTGATAAAAATATAATTATTTGATATATTATGTAAACTTTAAAAATTAATCTTAAATATCTTGTTTAAAAATCACAATTTATAAATTAAATTGAAACACTTAATTTTAGTTAAGAAAGTCTTATATTTATAATATTATTTTAAATTGAATAATTTAAAATAATCTAATTTAAACTTTTATTGAAATAAAATAAATTTAAAATTATTTTTATTTTATTATTATTTGTATTTAAAACTTAATAAAAAATTACTTATTTTTTAAATTATAAAGGTTTTTTTTTTTTTTTTTTAAGAAATTCATTTTAATTAAATAAAGATAATATTTTTATTATTGGATAAGCTTAATATTTTAATAAAGATTGATATTTTTACTTTCTATATTTTTTATTGAAATTATTTGCAATATTAAATAATTTAAATATACTGTATAAATTAATTATATCATTAATCAAAAACGTACGATTTTGCTACCATAATTGTAAGTCAGCTGATCATCCAACAAAAACAATGTTACACCAGTACAAAACATACCGATTTGCTAAGCCACCGTCACCGTGCGAGATGTTTCTTTCCGTTAGAGAATTAAAAGAACATTTTTAAAAAATTGGTTATTCGCACTTCTTTTTTTCGCGCCACATTGTGTGCGTTTATGAAAACAAATTTTCAATTTAACTTATATTATCACATTTATAAAACAAACTAAACTAATGACTTATCAGACAGAAAAAAGTACAGCCGAAGAAGACTCGGACATAATCGAATTCATAAATCGTAAATTAGCGAATTTAACAGTAAACTCTGACGCTACAGAAGTTCTTGGAAGCAACGACGGTTTACCAGTTTGTGAAGTTTCATCCTTGGTATGTTATGTATTCTTATTGATAATTCCTTTTTTCTTGTATTAATACAAGTAAATTTGGGTTGACATTTTACTCTTGCTTGTTATCAGTTACCACAATACTCACAGGTTATTATATCTGCTCTTCATTCTAAAATTACTGGGTTACGGCTTTCCGCTGTTATTAGACTTCGTAAATATTTATCGTTACGTGAGTATAAGTTTCTTTTCCCGAAAAAAAAAAAAAAAAATTTTTTTTAAGTAAATTATTGATTTATTCTTTTTTTTTCTTGTTATAGAGAATGTTGATGAAAGGGTTGATAATGTCCTTGCGTTGAACATAATACCATTATTGATAGAATTCCTTGAAAATTTTGGGGATCCTTTATTACAGGTATCGTTTTACGCACGGTAATTAGTTGTTATTCTTTTCTAATTATAATTTAGAAATTTCATTTAATTTCTTTATCAGTATGAAACGGCTTGGATAATTACCAATATAGCTGTAAGGAATTCTTTATTTATTAAAAGTTAGGTCTTTAAATATCCTTGTATAGCTAAAAACATAATTCGCTCTATATAGGCTGGTTCTACACAGCATACTGAAGCTCTTGTTGCTGGTGATGTAACAGAACATCTTATAAAGGTTTTATCAACTTCAAACAACGTCGAAGTTCAAACACAAGTAACAATATTTACAAATATATGAATGTTCTTGTTAGTTTGTTAAAAATCTATTGACCGTTATTTTATTTCAAGATCATATGGGCATTAGGCAATATCGCAGGAGATGGCGCTGTATTTAGAGATATTATATTATCTGCCGGCGTATTAGACCCCTTACTTTATATTTTATCAAACTACAAAATATATGATTACATGGCCGTAAGAATAACTGTTTGGGCTACTGCAAACCTGTGTCGAGGGTGCCGTTGTTCGGATCCATCATGGTCATTGGTAAAATTTTTTATTTCGTTATAGTTGTTAATACTTAATAAATTATGAATGATATTTGATCGCTATTCTATGAAATAGATTACTCCAGCTTTCCCAATTTTAGCTAATATGGTACAGCTCAATGATGCAGAAATTATTTCTGATGCTTGGTAAGTTAACATAGTATTCTTTCTAGTTTGATTTTTATTATCACAATTTGTATTCGTCCTTATTTGATCTAATAATTTAAAAGTTGGGGGATGTCCAGAATATTGAACGGTACTCATAAGCATCGAGAACATGCTTTAGTGAGCGATAGTTCATTATGTCGTCGCTTGGTAAATCTTCTCAGGTAATAGATATTACATAATATCCTACTTTTTTTTTAAAAAAAAAGTAAAAAGTAAAAATAAAAATTAACTATTTAATATTTATAGTGAGGAAAGTCTTACCTCTGCCGTTCATTTGCCAGTGTTACGAACATTGGTAAACATCGCATCGGGAGCAGGTTGGTTAACTTTTAATTTTAATTACTATTATCATCTTATTATTAAAAAAAAAAGGAATAGATGTTGTTATTAAAATATTCCATTATCTTTTATAGAGAAACAAACACAAGCAGTAATAGATGCTGGAGCATTAACTGTGTTGACTACTTCATATTTATCTACTAAAAATTTGACGTTAAGAAGAGATGCATGTCTAGCTGTATCCAATGTAGCTGCTGGCACATATTGTCAGGTAGCATTTAATATAAATTTATGAGACGACAATTTTTTTTAAAAAGGTTCACTAACGTTTTATTTCTTTTAATATGAAAACCATTTATTATCTAGGTAAACGCTGTACTAAATGAACCAAGTTTGATGGAAAATGTTGTCGCTTTGCTTTGGGACGACGATGTGAAGGTTGTAAAGGAAGCATGTTGGGTTTTAAGCAACTCCACAAGTTTGCATGATTCTGGTCACATCAAGTAAAGTAGTTTTACATTTTTTTTTTTACAAATGTCAATTGTAAGATTTAATGACAATAATTTTTTTAAACTTAAATTCTTATAGCTTAATTCTCCAATATGATATCCTTACACCTCTTCTTCATCATTTACGCAACTCATCAACACCTCAAGAAATAATGAACAAGCTTATTGACACTTTAATTAATATTCTTTCGGTTGGAGATATTTCTAGTTCTTCACCACCACCGTCACAGAATGCATATGCGGATCAATTAGCTGCATCAGGGTTAGTTGATGCATTGCTTACCGCCTATAATCACGTAGAATTATTGGAAACTATAAGAGAGAAAATTAGAGGGTTATTGGAAAGATGGTTCTATGGATATTTACACAGGGAACAAAGCAATGGTGAGGATGATGGATTAGATATAGCATCTATTGAAGAACGTGTTGGTAGATTGAGAATTAATATGGAAGGTGTTGACGTCTTTTAAATATGATAAACATAATATATATACACACATTTTTTGGTCGTTTATTCGAAAAGTTTAATATAGGACGAAATTTATCATACTATTTGGTTTTTTTATTTTATTTTATATGTATAAAATATTGTTTGTACAATTTAAACAGACATTTTAGTGCGATTACTATATTAATTGCTAAATTCAGTTTAAAAAAAATCCTCCATCACTAAAAAATACAGTTAAAGTTGTTATAATACACTACTTAATTCTTTGGACATTTAATAGTTCATGTGATTAGTTTATATTTGGTTTTTAAGCACTCATAATGTTGTTATGGGATGAATTTATTTAAATATATAATAAAAATGTTGGTTGAATGTAAATTAGATATACGATCCACTATTTATTAAAAAAAAAAAGTTAAAATAATGAAGAAAAAAAAAGAATTGCAACATTATTAATATCAAGACTTACAGATATATGGAATAAAAAATTTTAATACCATTAGTTAATGACAACGCAACTCATTCCTTATATATAAATATATATTTATATTTTTTTTAAAAAAGATTTGAACCAAAAAAATTATTTTGATGCATAATTAAAAATGTACTAAAACATTCCGTTTCTTTTTCCCAGCAAGCTTTTTCCTTTTCCAATGTTGATGTCTACTATTCCTTGGTCCACTTGTAGAGATCTTTGGAGCATCAGTATCTATTACCATACCTTTTTTTTTTTAAAAAAAAAAAATATATTTTTTGACAATATATTAATTTCTGTTTCTCCTTTAAAAATTATTACCTACTACTCCAGACAAAACACTCATTAACCCTTCAAAGTTCGTTGAATCAATTATATCAGGATCGATCAATCCTAGTATTTCATAACATAACGAACCTGAAGTTATATCTGTTGTAGAGTATGTATTTGCGAGTTGCGGTGGTAATTGATCTTGTGATCCCTCCTTTTTGATTGACGTGGAATTCATTTGTTGTGGTCCAGCTGCCTGTACTTGATTTGCTGCAAGTCTTTGTGCTCGAGCAGCCTCAGCTGGTTCAAAGACAGACTGTCGTTTAATTGCACGGAAACGTCTCTTGACTTTACTACGCATGCTCTTGGCCATTTTGATCAGTATTCTTTGTTGCTATATAGCTTTAATAAAGTTTTAGTAGGTTTTTATAAAAAAAAAAAAAAGGTGTTCCTTAAAGCCTAAGAGAAAAAATAACTTTATTTCTTTTGAAAGAGTAATTTTTAAAATAATTTAAAAAACTCCGCAAACGGGACGGCGCATTTATGGATCCCTGATATTTTTTATCAATCACGTGATAACCATAATTTTTGATTATTAACAATTATTTTAATCGATGTTTGAATATTAGTTGTTGTACTACAAGAGTGCATAAATGCAACATTCTTTTCCTAATTTAATAAAATGTATAAAAAAGTGTTTATACGTCAGACGTTTCGGATTTTTGTAAAGCTTGGAATGGCAACGCATAAAACTTCTTTAGGATTTGGGAATCCGGTTGTTCAATATAATTCGACTTTCGTGATTTAATAAAACGAGAACGAGCGTATGTTTCAGGGAACGCAACTCTACACCTTCAAAATTAACCAATCACTTAATAAATAATTTTTTTTTTTTTAAAAAAAAAGAATAAGTGCAGTTTCTTGTGATGGTTAATTTACCGATCTCTTAGGTCTTGTCCGGTCCGATGCGTTAAATTCAGTTTCTGATCACTCGCAATTTTCGACCAGGAATTACCATACTAATATCATTTTACAAAAAAAAAAAAATAACTTGGTCAAAAAAAAAAACATTCCTCTATCATAGAGAAATGAGGTTATATGATATCAACCTTTTCAACACCTAATTTCAAAGCATTATCTTCTTCGGGAGTGAATTTGTTTTTGGAGCGATGAGGTTTCCTTACGAATGTCAACAACTCTGATAACGAGTCATTATCATTTGATTTGTTTTTCTTTCTTTTCGCTTTCTTACCGTATAATTTTTCATATTCATTTGGATAGATCGTTCGAAATCTTGACAAGAATTAAAAATTGAAATGTGAGAAATTTTTCCTATGAAAATATCAAATTGAAATAAATTTTGTTTACTATAAAAAAAAAAAAAAAAAAAAAGAAAACTACAAACCTACCTATCTTTGAGATCAACGGCTGTTCGATCCCTGGGAAAAGGGTATTTTGGATCGGTTAAAATTTTCTTCCAATTACCAACGCCGTGCTAACAATTCAATGGGTATGATGAAACATGATAAATGAACCAAATTTTTATAAAAAAAAAAAAAAGAAAAAAAAAAGATTCACACAAACCTTATAAAGTCCTTCAACAAGTAGGGACGTTTCGGTCGCACCCCATTTTTGACGAGCTTTACGCCTGTCCAGTTTTTTCTTATTCTGGTTTTCTGGAGAAGAAGTAGTATCGTAGTTTTGATTAATTTCCGCCATTTTTTTTTCTTTTCCTTCTTCACCTTTTTTCTTTTTTTTTTTTTTTACCGAAAGCTTTTGTATTTGAGGGAAGGTTTTGAAACTAATAGAAATTTCTACTTGCAACTTCGAAATTTCGTCACATTGGCACAGAAAACGCTTTGTTAACAAAGCTTTTTTTTTTAAATAAAAAAAAAAAAAAAAATCACGAGATATTTTTCTAGTGTGCTTCCAATTTAGGACAGTTTATCGATGAGACTGATTGGATCAAAAAAATTTTCCATTTATAGGAAACGTAATTTCAACGGTCGTCTTTTATTTTCGATTACAACAAATGTCTGAAAACGGAAAGATTATATTCGTGACGGTTGGTTCAACCGGGTTTGATCAAATTGTTCAACTTATTACGTCAACATCATGTCTCCAATTATTAAATTCTCAAGGATTCACCAAATTAATCGTTCAATATGGAAAAAGTCAAAATGCGTTTAATGATTCGATCCAAACGCGTAAGAATCGAACAAACGAAATTGACATCATCGGGTATGATTTTAAACCATCATTAAGTGAGGATATGAAAAATGCGGATCTGATTATTTGTCATGCCGGTATTGTTTATTGTATACCTGTTGTCATCAAATCAACATAACATCTTTTTTTAACTTTTTTTTTTTTTTGTTCCGCTTATCGCTTATCGCATATCGCATATCGCATAATAAAACAAAACAATAAGGATCAGGTTCTATCCTAGAATCACTTCGTTTATATAAACCTTTAATTGTAGTAGTGAATGAGAATTTAATGGATAATCATCAAATGGAACTTGCGATTGAATTACAAAATAAAGGTTATCTTGTTTATAGTTCGATCAGGTACCTCCTTAAAAATTTTTACCGTTGACGAGCTCAAAAGAATTATTCTGATTTTTTGTTGTAAATTTCAAGTGACCTTTTGAAAGTTTTGAATTCGTGTACTTACGAACATTTGATTCCTTTTCCGGAACCGGACAAATCACTTTTTGCAAATGTTTTAAGTGAACTTTGATAAAGAAAAAAAATTTTGGACAACCCTTTTTTTTTTTTAATTTGCGCAAATTAACGTTACCGATAACATTATTTTAAAAATTTATTAGGTGTTTTAAAACTATAATTACTCTACTAGTAAAGTACTTTTGGTTTGATGCATTACATATATAAGAAGAAGTGCAGAATTTTGTTCATGCTAAGAAAAGAAAAGAAAAATAAAAAGGAAATTTTCGAAGGTCTTTTGTAAAAAAAAACGAAGTAATAACGTAAAAAAAATAATATGTGAATGCGAAATTATTAAAAGTCTATCTATTTGTAATGAAAATGTTCAACATTTACATTACTCAAACGTATTAAACGTGTCTATAATATTAAACTGGAATAATGATGCGTATGTATTCTATAATAAAAAAAAAAAAAATTTTTTTGACCTTTGTATAAAAAGTTTTTGTGTATATATAAATTAGAGATGTTATATTAAAATATTTCCTAGCCCATTTGTCAACAGAAAATTTATTTTCTGATGACTTCATAATAATCATAATTTGCGCTTATAAAGGAGACCCGGTCCACTCATATTATTAATTAATTTTTTCTATCATAATTCTTTAACATATATTTTAAGTTTATATATATATATATATAATGTAAGTAATATTTTTTTCTTGAATATCTTTTTTTGTTTTTTTTTTTGGTTTTTTTTTTTTTGTTATATTTTTTCTTAATGTCTATATAATATTTTTCATTTTTTTTTTTCATTTTTTTTTTTTTTGCCTACAAAACAAAATGAAAATAAAAATTATTAATATAGAACGAAATACTTGACAATCATCGAGTTTTTATATATAAGAACTTACCCGACCGGCGGGAGTTAAAATTCGGTAATACCGCACAAGGTTTAGGGCAAGGCCCACAAATCATTAGGATGGCAATGTTTAACGTGATATATGAGGCCACCTTTGCTGCCGTAAGTTTTTAGGCAACCTCCAATGCGGCACGCCCATGGCTTTTCACGAGCTCCGTTACCGCTCTATAAAAGTTCAATTGCACCCATTAGTAAATAAACAAAAATAAAATGTGGCAATATAATTAAAATCAATAAAAAGACTGATTTTGATATTCTTACTTGTTGTGCGTGACCATGTTCGTTGTGATATTTCAATCCGTTTGCATTTTTATATGCTTTCGGGCATCCATGAACGGAGCATTTGTAAGGATATATATCGGCTTCACCTCTATTCTGCACGACATCAGAAGACAAATCGGAAGAATGAATAGCAGCGGAAGCATCAGCGACAGATTCATCAGAAGGCTATAGATATAATAACATAATAATTAGTAAAGCATTATATGAAATAAATCGATTCGTGCATATTTGATATGATTATCATACTTTATTAGTACGTCGTTTTACTGATTTATTATCGACCGATGATGTGGAGGTGGCCCTTTTCTTTGATTTGATACCAGACGCACCAAGTGATGGGTCGGAATAGACATCTGACATTGCAACTCCTAATTAAAGCAAATAATAGGGTGTAAGAAGATAAAAGAATATCGATCTGGTAACATATTTTTATAAGAAAAGATCCATCATACCGTTACCAGCCTTCGGTTGGATTCGCTGATATTTTGCCGAGTATTGCGTGGCTGTTCCGGAGCCAGTCTCTCCGGAAGACATATACCCTACCAGCGGGTAACCGTCGACTGAGTTCACAGAGTATTGTGTGCCGGTAACAGAGGGCATATATGACGCCAACGCATTATTATCGATTGAGATGTGACTATAAGTTTGGGGTGCAGTTGTCGCAATGTTTCGCGCCGCCGCCAAATTAGAGGTAGATGAGCGTCTGAGTTGAGCAACGGGCCTATTTGAAGTTGTGACGCTTCCTTGTACTAAATTTGACATATTAATAGACCTATACTGATGTTCATTTTGGGGCATCGTAGTTACAACTGGATGTGCTGAGATAATATTTGAAGTTGACGATCGCCTAGGTTGTAAAAAGCTACTATTATATCCATAAGAAATAGGGGTATTTGATGAATTTGAGGCTCCTTGATTAGATTTACTAGGATCAGAGCTCGATGATACTTGCTCAGAATTATATGGGGATATAGAAGAAGTACGCCTTTGTTGAACATTGTTTGTCGCGATGGGCCTTTGCCTTGAATTATTCATGGTCGCATAAGATGTATTTTGAGTTGATGAGGACAGACGTCTTTGTTGAGCATTAATAGTAGTATTGGCACCATTGCTTGGTGATGGGACGAGTCTCTGCCTTGAGATATATGAAACCTGTTGGCCAGTTGTCGATGCATTGATAGATGGGGAGGTCTGCTGAGCGTTAACATTATTATCATTGTTATTATTAATTGACCCATAAGGTGTAGACGATGATGTTCTTTGAGGGCTCTTATCCTGAGGGTTGGCTTTAGATTTTGATGGTGAAACAGCCGCCGCTTGTCCTAAGTTTGAGATGGACATGACACGATCGTTTGAAATGGGGGAGACAGCGTCAAAGTTGTCATCTGAACTGACAGGAGAAGAGGCATAATCGGATTGTGGTGAGTTATTAACTAATAAAGGATCTTGCTGGTTCATTTGAAGAGCTTTTGAAGGGTAAGAATCATCATCAAGACTTGTTGACATGGACGATGACGTTTGATCCTCGAACGGGAAATTCGTATTGCGCAATGTGGAAGTATTATGATCATAAAGGTATAATGCTGCTGCCAACATGAAATCATTCTGGTCACATGAGTCCTGATTTTGACCAGTTGTGATTTGTTCGAGACCGTTAATATGGCCAAACCCATTAATTTGTGCGAGCTCAATTTGGCTATACTCAAATCCATTATTATTCAAGTTACCCTTCTGTTTATAACTTTGAGCAGTTTGGTTATTAACAGAGTATATAGAGGATAATGCGACAGAGTTGAAATTTCCTTGTGTACCGTTCTGATGATTTTTTTGTTCATGAGCGGAGCCATTCGGTACCGAAGTATTCAAAGAAGGTTGGATGGATGAAACAGACATCGAAATTGGCATTGAATTACATCGATCTGTGAAATTAGAAAGAAAATTAATTAATGGGACAGGCAATGGAGTCGGAAGGAATTCCGGCATAAAAATCATGTGACCTACACTGCGAATAAACAGTATTTGCTTCGAGAGGAATTGGGATAACTGCACCGTCTTGCACGATCATTCCACGATGATAATTGTCCGCATGTTGAATAAGGTCGTGAAAATTTTGATGATCGATTCCACAGCAATTGTAATTGCGAGAATAGCTTGTCTGTAAGTTTGGATCAGAAGTAAGAGAGGAAGGGTACATTCCCACATTAAATACTGGGTAGGTTTGATCAAAGCCGAGGCCCATGTTGTCAACGTCTTGTGATAAGGGATTGCTATAGACGTCATCACTGGTAAGAAAGAGAGACGAGGGTCAGTTAATGTAAAAACCAAAAAGTCGTTGAGAGCTTATATTAATTTTCCACATTAAAATTACATGATAACTTTTAGACAACATCACGTAAAGTATGATTTCGTGTTACGAATGTAACATACTAACGGAAAATGTTGTGAATTACGTTTAAGATGTAATAATATATATATATGAGTGTGGGGTTTATTTTTTAAAGATATATGAAAAGTAAGTGAGATAAATAAACCAAAAGGGGAGAACAAATAATAGAGATCAAGGAAAAGAAAACGAATGCGAAACCAAATATAAATGACGTGTAATAAGAATTGAGTGCAATTGATTTCTTTTATGAACGGTTTCAAGAACATTAGGCACAGATCCGATGGAACACTTACTTTAATGGGTTTGACCTCGCGGTCGCAGCAGAAGTATTATACGAAGGACCAGAAGAACGTCCGTAGCCGCTAGTCGAGCCAGGGATAGAAATCGGTGACGAACCGGATACTACAGTAATCGAATTTGCGCACTCGGTTGCGTGAGGCATGTTAACGAAAAAAGGTTATTATATTATCTCGATCGATAATATAAAAGATCAAGAGCCTTTGTAGGGTATAAACTATGAATTAAGAGTCGATGGTTTTTTTGAACAAATAGTTAGAAAATTCTCTGCGAAGATGTGTAGAGATTTTAACGACGAACTCTTAAAGTGATCGTATGGATGCCCTTTTTTATAATAATAATTTACGATTGAAAGGGCTAATTGATAAATTTTAACGAATTAAATAGGAAAAATCGTAATGCTAGTAAAAGCTTGAAGATGAGAAAGGATTGTAATTATAAATCAGATGATATGATTTGGATCGTGAGAAAAAGTTCGTAAGGTTAGTAACTTTAAGAGAATTTTTTTTTTGTTTTTTTTTTTTTTTTCTGGAAAGTCTATAGTAGGTATTAGGGTTTTTTTAAAAGTATATATAAAATTTTTTTAAAAAAAAAAAAAAAAAAAAAAAAAATTATTTTTATTTATTTTAATTTTTTTATTTTTAAATTTTTTTTTTTTAAACTAAAAGTGACGAAACAAAAGTTTACAACGTTAAGGACAAAGAGGTCATAGGAAAGGGGTGTAGGTAGGGTGTATGAAGCCCCAAAAATTTTAAAATAAATATATTGAAGTCGTTACGAAAGTCGTTAAAAAAGGTAGCAAAGAAAGTTGTTTGATAAATTCACAAGTGTCATATAAATATATGAATGCAGAAAAAAAAAACAAAAAAAAAAAAAAATAAATATTTGTGAAAAATGAAAAAAAAAAAATTAATTATACAGATTTTTTTTTTACAGTATATTCTAATATATTATTTTAAAATAAGTGTATTTTTTTTTTTTTTTTTTTTTTTGGCTGAAATCTCACAAAATAACACATAAAACGTATTTAGCAAAAAACAGCACTCGGGGCAAAAAAAAAAAGTAGTTTTTTTTTTTTTTTGACATGTTTATTATTGTAGATTCATTATAAAAATTTATTTTATACAGGTTTTTTTTGATTTCAAAAACAATCCGATTAGATTCTTTCAAACTTTTTATGTGTCATTGATTGTAATGGGTTTAAAATAAGCTACAATGATAAATAGGAAAAATCACTAATTAAGTTTTGGAATTCCTTTCATGGGTGCTTATTTTCGCAAAATGATAGGATATTTTATTTATATGCAATTAATTTATTAAATATCAATTGACACAAATCGGTATTTACTAATTGGAATTGACACGTCATCAACCGAAATCGTCCGTCTTCAAAAAGATGCGAAGGTGTCAAAGGTGCTGTACCAATCAACATATTATATATGTGCGTCATGTTTTTGGTCGTAGCGTGGGCATTAAACAAAGCAAGTTCGCAACGGATTTAGAATGTCGTCTTTAGGTTTTTTTTTTTTTTTTCTAATAATAGCCCGACCGAAATCACCGAGTTTCGGCAATTTACATTTCACGGGATGCAATATTTACACGTGGCATCCCCAGGAATTGGTCAACCTTTCAATAAATAAAAAAAAAAAATTTCTTGTTTCATAAAAAAAGAAAAAGTTAAGAACAATTATTATTTATTATTAATTAAGTGTTTTGATAAACATAAATAAATTTGTAAATAAATAATCAATTCCCCACTTTACCGTTTTTGGAAGTTCAAGATCTATGAAAATTATGTAACATGATTGATTCATGATTTCATTTTCTTAAAACATTAAATAAATAACTAGGTTATCTATTAAATTTAAAAAATTCCCAAATTTAATTGTTTCCATTGTATGTTTGTTATGTGAAAATGCAAATCATTAATTTATAATTTATCGTAATTTAAAATTTTTTATTTTTATTTTTATTTTTTATTTTATTTTTTTTGAATTTATAATGATTGTTTAGTAATTAATTAAATTACATGAACAATACTTGAAAATCCTTTTTTCTTTTTTTGATTGAAATTTTGACACTTTTCTTTCACGGACTTCTTTTTCTCGCATGTTCATGCAATATACATTCAAAATAATCAAGAAATTTAAAGATTATGTCCAAAATCAGTCGATATTGATTAAATCTTCTTTGGAATCCATACTTCTAAAATTATTAAAATTTATTGGAAGGAAAGAATAAAAAAAAAAACAAACATCTGCATTATTATGAATGTCAACCCGAAACAGAAAGGCGTAATATCTCCTCATGGTAAGTGGAGATCACGTTATCCGCTTACTATTGGTGGCGAAATGCCGAGACAAATAAAATAAATAGTATTGTGTTGATTTAATGTGAATAAATGTACGTTTCATTCAATTTGAATGGATGAAAAATGCAAACAATCCTGCATGAATTCGATGACGCACTTTCGCCCTTGATCAATTTCCTGATTGGTCAAATTTCTGTAATTCGAATGGACGAAATGAAAAAAGAATGAGTAAGTTTCGTATTAATGAAGTATTTTGACAATATAGTAAGGAACGCATTGTACATTATCAAGTGTCATTAGCATCTGATATTTATAATATAAAAAAGGTAAATTGGCAAATTAAATATCCTTTTTTATATGCCGACACGGACCAAAGAAATACCGATTTGCATTCCAAATTATACACAATGTCAGAAATCATTTGACAGTTAATGTATCACCACTTGTATTGAGGCGCAGCATACCATTAATAATACGAGGCAAAATTAGAAAAACCAAATATTACTGGATATAGATACGAAGTAAAAAATGCAAGATGGATTAGAATCAAACAATGTGTGATAATAAATTTCATTGTTATCAAATGACGTTTACTTACTTGGAATTGTTGTGTTCCTTTGTTTTTTCCCCACTCTAGTAAGCATTATTCTTCATGGGCTGTAATGAGAAGAAAGACATTATGCAGCGGCAACAAAATGTACAACCACAAATACAACAAACATGTGCATCGCCGTAAGTCCGTATGAATCCCGCCGCAATACTAGAATGTTTCCAGCTGCACGATGGAATCTCAATCCACGGGTTGATACAGTGAAATAGTCTATTGGTCATACATGAACTGTACTTCAAATGAATTTCAGTATTCCAACTGTGCAGCTCTCACATTATAAAGTTTAACTTGCTTCACCACTTTGTTCATTTCCTATTCTTCATTTCTCCCCGCAAAAAAAAAAAAAAAGATATCAGGACCTTTGGGGATTTCCTATAATGTTTAGTGTGGATGCTTTGATACCACCAAAAATCTGTCAGAAGCATAAACATGCACCAACTTAGTTTTGTACCCCATTTTCGAGGGGGTCCTTCATCCCTTTTTTTTCGAATTACTGCGGTAAATTATTTGGTAAAAAAAAATTTATAACAATGACATCCAACTTGCTTATTATTATTATTAAAAAAAAAAAGAAAAGTAAAAATAGAAAAAAGAATAATCGTAAAAAAATGCGCAAAGGAGTACATCAAAGCATGTAATTTAGCGTAATAAATTTCCCCACTTGAAACCATATTTTTTCAGTCCGCGTGGACAAATATCAATATTGATGTAAACAAATATGCTTATATGCTAATTTATGAATGTATGATTATGCAATAATATCATTTTGTAACATTACCGCAGCCCAGCCCATCACGGTAAACAATATTTTTTTTACAAACTTCACTAGATCGGTATAAGTGGTATTACGTAGCTCAATTCATGTCAATGAACCCTGAAAATCTTGTTTTACGCGGTAAATTTATACAAATTGCTCAAACAATTAACTTTTTCTCTTTTGTTAAATCGCTTCGTCTTGTCGAGTGGGGGGGTTCCCCCCCATACAGTTCGTATATCCAATCAATTTAAAGTATTACAGCATTGTTGTAAATCACCAATCAAAAGAAATGAATGTTTATTTGATGGCTGATCAATGATTATCTATTATGTTTCGGGGCTTTTTATATTGACTAAAATAAGAAAACGTCTTGACTTGATCATTTTTCGAACTTACTGGTTTGGGTTATTACATTGTCTTAAAATC